CGTTATGTAAAAAAATGTCCCGGAAATATTCATTTCACATCTGGCAACCCTAATGTACACACATATGCAAAGCGATTTTGTTCCTAATGACGTTGCGAAACGTTTACTATTACAATGACTATTATTATGACTATATATCATAGATAAATGCACAAATGACATAATCTTAATAATCGACAAATACCAGTATAATATAGTTAGTAATGTAACGGCATAGCTGTTCCGAAAAACTAGCCTGCACTGCGCCAATTTGGCGCCAGCGCCGCCGATTGAGAACTTCGACCGAGCCGCGGAGCCGCGGGTTGAAGATCACGGCCTACCCCGCCGCTACGCGCATGACCGCGTGGGGATATCGCGTGGGGGCAGCTGGCCGTATATAAGGCGGCCGCTCTGGCAGATCGCTACCTATTCCTGTCTCGACTCTCGGGACGCTCGAAGCCACAGGGCGCACCCTGGGCAATCGAAGCCTACCGAGCTCCTATCCTCGCTCTCTGGTTCAGAGCACGGTCTCTACCGTGCCCGGTCGAATATACCCGATAACCAGGAGTGCCCGTCGAACCAAGGACGATCCGGTCCAAGGTACGGGCGCTCCCGTACTCGGTCGGTTGCAACCGACGCCCGGAACGGTCCGGCTCTCACCCTCGCACCCCGAATAGCCGTTTTCACGGCTCCTGGTGATAGCCGTTTTCACGGCTCCTGACGATTGTCCAGGAGCCGTTCTCACGGCTCCTGACGATAGCCGTTTTCATGGCTCCTGGACAATCAGCCGTTTTTACGGCTCCTGAACGAGCGCCGTATCCACGGCACTGGAGGATTAGCCGCTTCCGCGGCTCCCGGATGACAGCCGTTCCCACGGCTCCTGGACGAGCGCCGCATCTTCGACACTGAAGGACAACCGTCACCCCGGTCTTTGGACGCCGACCGCCCGCCCTCGGAATACCAGCCGTTTTCACGGCTTCTCGAGTGACGACCTGTTGTAAATAAAGTTGGTCTCCACTAACCTAGATCCCTAGCCGACTCTCCTTTCGCGGCCGCCTAACGTACCGCTCGTTCGCCACCTCGCACCGCACCGAACCACGAGTTTTACTTTGGGGCCCTGATTAATTCCCCTGGTCTAGAGCCCGGTTGCTACCGGGCTCGGTCGGTTGCTACCGACGTCCAATATCCCGGCGTACCACGGGACACCCGTGTACGCCACCCTGAGGACGGGCGCTCCCGTCCTCAGCCGACTTCGGTTGGCAGACCCTGCTAGGCCCGCGTCCGTGCCTCGTTGTACGTGACCACCCATTAGGACTTCCGCGTCGCGAGACATACTCTGGGGGGGTCCTGTTTAACTCCCCTGGTCTGGAGCCCGGTTGCTACCGGGCCTGGTCGGTTGCTACCGACGTCTAGTATCCCGGCGTATCACGGGGCACCCGGGTGCTCCCGTCCTCAACTGACTTCGGTTGGCAGACCCTGCTAGGCCCGCGTCCGTGCCTCATGGCACGCGACCACCCGTGAGTTTTCTTTCTTCCGCGTTCGCGTCCGCGAAGAAGTCTTACGCGCTACGCGGTGGGTGAGCACCAACCGCTTTGTAAATACTTGTAGATAATTAGTCAAATAAGGCGTGCCTATTAATTCCATAGCGCGACTCCTTGTACATAATCCGTAGATTAAGTTATTGATTGTAATATCCGTGCGGCTCATTACCCGGAGCATTGCCTACCTCTTATAGTCAACCTGATTTATTCTTCTTGAATAAAGATTTCGTTTAAACCATATTTGTGTGGTTTTCTTGCGAGCCTGAGCCTCTCCTTCTCCCGAACCCTGACTCCGACGAGCCGATTTGCGACGTCGGGAAAGGTGCTCCGTTACAGTAATATCAAAAATTACTTTTGAACTTTATAAATAATATTTCACAAAATTCTAAATGTTTCATGTAAAATAATTATAATATAAAAATTACACTATAATCTTTTCTATTTTGTACAATATATTTTCTTTTTCACAAATAATTGTATAATTATAATAATATTGTGATAAATGAATAAAATAAGAAAAAATAATGAAATCGAAATTCTTCTTTTTAATTTTGTAAAACTAAATTTATTTGATTCTAAAATTCAAATTTAACTTTTCGAAACAAATCTGACATAAGATCATCTGTAAGTATCTCGTTTGATAAAAGGAACTTGAAGATTGAACAAAAATTGTAAGAAAATTTTATAAAAATTCGTTTGAACATTGATATCTGTAATGATTAACAGTTTTAGAAATACAAAATGAATATAGAATAAATATAGAAAAATTTTTGGAGGGAGATACACTAATTACAATTATAATTATATTCTTACATATTTAGCATATACATAAAAGTATTTAAATTTTATTTTTAAATGTTATATACTATACGAAAAATACAGCTTATTATCATAATTACATGAATATGATAGCGTTTGTGTCATAAATAATTGTAACATATATTAGATTATAAAGATCAAAATATGTACAATATTTAATTAATTTTAATTAATATTTTACATTATTATTTAATATTAATTTTATACCTGTGTGTCTGTGTGTGTGTGTGTGTGTGTAAAATCGAAATTTTCAAATATCATATATTAAACATAATATTACTTTATATCTATTGACGAATATTGCTATTTGCATTATTATATCTTTAAAAGTCTGAATGAGTAGATTTTCAAGCAATTATTCACGGTAAAATTTATATCTGGATGCGATTTAAAAGAATCCGTGAATATACTTTATTTTTAATATTTATAGAAGAATAAAAGTAAAATTATTATAACAATTATTCATAATAAAACTTATAAAATAAATTCTTCTTACATTCTTACATTAATTTCCTGAAAACGATTCAAGTGTTTTAAGATTTCGGATTTGCGTAATTCTATCTTGTAATTGATTAGTGCTTTTATAGTTATATTTAATGTGTTCTCCGGAATGTCCGGAATAACTATTGTCTCGCAACTCATCTAAAATAGTTATGTATTGATTAATAAATACATTTTTATTAATAAATAATAAATTCTTTTCATAAACAAAAACATGATAATATTCCTTCTCGTTTATTATATGATTAATGTAAATATATAGAAAGTGCCCTAAAATCGCCATTCTTCCTCTTAGTGACTGAGTTAAAAACATTTTAAGATGAAAACCTTAATACAAAATTCTTAGATCGTTTCAAGACGAAAATTTGAATACAAGAATGTTGAATCTATAGTTTTTAAACGGGAAAAAATTATATTTTGCCAATAACAGAATTGAGTTTTTGCGCAATAAATCATGCAAAACAATATGACAAGTGAAAGAAGAATGAAAGGAGTACCTTTTTTATAATATATGATATTTCAATTATCATTTACAAAAGCATTCTCATTATATATTTTCTTACTTCTCTACTGCGATAATATATTCTTTTCATGAATAACGTAAGAAAAACTAAAGGGCTTTTAAAAATGATTTAAATAAAAATTTACGACATATTTCAATTTCAGCTATCAAAATGATCGATCATTATTATTTCCATAAAAGTGTCTACTATATTACACTGCGAGATCAATAAATTGTAATAAAATTATGCTTGACGTTTATTTATTTAGCATTTCAGAATGATCGCAATGAAATAAATTGCAATCATTTCAGTAGAAATTAAATCAATGAATTTTACTTCACTTACACCATTTTTGAAATACTTTTTATTCTTGCATCCATTATTCTTAAAAAGAATGTGCTAATACAATACGTACAGGAACGAAAAACATAAAATGAGAATATGATTGTAAATTTATACTAATAATATCATAAAAACAAGGCATTCATAAAGTCATTTTTTTCACGTGTCATTTAATAGTGCGCATGAAATATCGATTCAATTCGTAAAACATAATTGCTTCTCGTTAGAAAAATATTATGGCATAAACATTTTTGTATTAGAATTTTTGTTTTAAAATATTTCAAAGAATCTGCCATTAAGAGAAAATACGTTAAAATATGTGTATATGGCATAAAAGCGAAAATAAAAATACTTAATAATAAGAAATAGTAGATAAATAAATATATTTGTGTTTCAAAAATTTACCTCGATACCTAGTTTATAAAATTTTTCACAAAATAACTGTTGGACCAAAACATGTTTATCAGTTACTTTTTTAAAATGATGTACAAACTCACTTATCTGAAAAAAAATTTCAATATTAGTTTGTTAATAAATAATTAATGATTTAATCTTGCGTTATCATTCAATTTTTGCGAAAATTAAATGTAATATAATTTTGTATTTTCAGTACAATTATAATAATCCAAGAAAGTTGTCCTAATTAAGATTTTTTATTTATTTAGTTGTCTTAATTAAGGTTTTATATTTAGAAATAAATTTATAAAGTTTACCTGATTAAGTTGTTTCGTAGAATATACATGATTAATAATGTAAATAAATGTTGCAACAATGTATTGGCTATAAATAAAATATAGTAAACTTATAATTAATATATATGATAATCTTTATATGATACATGTATTATGAATTGATAAAAGTACAAAAAAAGATATCACATATATTACCTGCGTATTACCCACATCATCTTTAAATTCCTTAATATAAGATCAAGTATTTCCTTATTATTTGCATGCCTTGCAATGATATAATAAAAATCATTAAAAACATTATTTCTTTCTTTAACGTAGTCATTGAATAACATATCTATATATTTGATAATAACAACAGAATCACCGGAACAAGCAAGGGCTTTCGAAGTGATTACGTTAGGATTCTTAATATGTATATTCCATACTTTGTTCCAAATACTATTGTTAGCTCTCATTAAACCGTTACAGAACGTCCAATCTCTCCACCAAGGCAAAAGTCTACGATATTCAGAAGAAAATTAAAAATCTGTTAGAAGAATTCAATTCAAAGTCTTAGAAATCTCGTGTTATTCATCAAGCATGTATCAAGAAAAAAATTATGAAAATTGAAAATTGAAAAAAAATTACTTGTTTTCTGTAGTATTCGTGAGATATTCATGCAATTTGATTTCGGCTGTTTTCATGCAATTTGACGCACTGAGAACACATGCCCATTTATTAGCTTCTTGTTTTAAGCAGTCAATTAAATCGTCAGTTTTTTTGTTAAGTTTTTTATCATAATTGATGTTTTGAAAAAGTCCGTTCAAACTGTTCAAGATTTTCGTCTAGAAATAAAACAATACTATATTTATTTTACTGGTTATTTGTAAAAATTGTAATGCTTGAAGGAATATGATACTAATAAATCTTCGCCATTTGATTAAGAAAGTGAATATAATATTATTCTAAAATTTCTCAATCTCTTTAAATCATTATAAAAAGGTGCAGCGTGCACAGGTACGTATACATAAAAACTTACACGTACATAAAAATACACACACACAAATACAAGTATACACACATACACGTGCTTATAGGTATATTTTTAAAACAATATAAAAAGATTCAGATAAGAAATGTGTCAATAAGAGTCAAACGCATAACCAAGTGCAAGTAAGTTATCTAAAAATCTATTTCATTATTTTAAACATTTTAATCTTCTCTTTTTGAAATCATTCTTAGCAAAACTAACATTAAGCCATGAAAACATTGATCTGATTTTTTGATTTTTAATAGTATTTAATAGTATTTAATTGATTTTAATATCGTTATTGATTTTGAGAGTTTACCTTGATAACATTAAATTTTTTATCTTGAAATGGAAAAATGCTTGATATGTCTTCGAGAGCTTTAAACATAGGATACCATGCGATATAATCTGTCTCTCGAGATAAATATTCTGTGAGTTCCAAGAATATAGAAAAATTAAGTGTGCCTGCCTTCACGAAGTAATATGCATCATCAATAATTTGAGCCCGATTGAGAACATGTATGTTTGTATATTTCGTAGATTTCAGATATCTCGCAATATTTTGCCAATTCTTGAGTTCGTAATTAACACGATAATATCCTGTTGTAGATGTTGCAATTGATGAATATAGAATAATATTTTTTGGATTAATAACTTCTCTTAGTTAAATATATTAAACCATTTCTAAATTTTTCCATTTTTTTATATTATATATAATATTATGATATTCGATAGTCGATAATTAAGTATTTTTATAAGTATATTTTATATCTCTTGCACATTATCTATTTCTTTTTACATTTATCACGAAAAGATAAATAAAATTTCTCCGTCTTATTCAATTTTTTAATTATAGGATGTACAAATATTTAATTTTTATATAAAAATAAGGTAATACGAAAATTAATAAATATAATTATTATTTATGTATACTATTTATGTAATTATATATTAAATATATGATATATGTATGTATAATTTTATATTTTATGAAAATTGAGTTTACATTTTATTATATGCCGACATATTATATATTTTAGAGTTTAAAAGATTATTTCTAGAAATTTTAATAAAACAGTCTCCCATTTTTAAGCATAATGTAATAACAAAAAATTGTATTTTGAATAAAAAAATATACTATCTATTCAGGGTGTCTCACATAACTTTCATACAATATTTTAATAGCGTATTTTGGATGTAAAATAGAAAGTCAGAAATCCTAACATGAAAATGTTGAAATAACAATAATTTTTAAGTTATAAATTATCAAAGTTTACCATGATATTGCATAGAATTTGCGCGTTTAATTACGTAATTACATTCATACTGATTTTACAATTGTTATTTATTTTTAAAGCAGTTAATAAATAAGTTAATTTTTATAAGCATTTTTACGATTAAAGAAAAATAAACAGTCTTTTTTAAACAATATTTCTTAAATATGTCGAGATATCAGATTTAATTTCATATAATTGTAATAATTAATCATTTAAATTATTGTATGTATTGTATAAAAATAAAATTTTAAATATTTTATTTACCACAATTATAATTCGTTAATATTATATGATCACCGTAATACATATAAAAACAGTAAAATTAAGTGCAGTAATAATCAATATTACTTAATTAGTAAAAATTAATAACAAATGACAGATCAGTAAGCGCATGTATAATTACAAAACTGTGCGCGTCTGGGTACATATAAATTCCATGCGATATCGTTACATTTTGATTGCTTATAATTTAATAATTATTGTAACCTAAAATTTTTATATTAAAATTTTACCTTCAGAATATATTATTAAAGTATTGTACTGAAATTGTAAAAAATTTTGCATATATTATAATAAATTTAAGAGAATTTCGTAAAGTTATAATGGTACATTATTCACAAAACTTTACGTAAGGGAAAAAATTTATAAATAAAATAATGATTTATAATAAAACATCATAAATCATTATTTGTAATAAATACTTAATTCTTCAGTTATCAATCATAAAATAAATATTTACCAATTTGTTGTAAATTAATTATGTACCATTCATCCTCTTCAACAGAAAAGTTAAGAGATTTTCGAAAATATTTTTGTATCCACTCATTTGATATCCATTCTTCATAATATGTATTCTTGGATATTGTAAAATCGAGTTTGGTCTGCTTAGTTACTGTTATAGGTATCCACCACAAATGTTTTAGATCTAAACTGTCGTAATTTTCTATTTCTATTTCCAAGTTAGAAATTTCATTTGTAACTTTTAATACAGGATAATGTTTATTTATCACCCAAGAATTTATCATATCTTCTATAATAAAATATTTCATATTGAATTCTTCTTCTCTATCATAGACAATCTGCATATTGTTGTAGAAATTATTGAGTGTTGCAGATCTAAACATCAAATATCAAATATTATATTTTATATTGTTGACTATAATAAACAAAGATTTCTTTTAATTTAGAAAAAACATATAAATTCATTAATTAAATTGCATATGTGTATTAATACTTTCTATGCTTTATAATATGTTACTTTTATATAATTTTTATTCAGATTTATTATTGGATCAATGTTGTTAAGTTTATATAATATGCAAAAATAGCGAATATGTATAAAAAGTCTATCGTGAGCAACCGGTTACGTATGGAATACATATTAAATTAAATTAATTTATAATTTAATTTAATCACTTAAAAATGATAATACAATTATTACATGGAAACATAATATGATGGAAATAATTGAAATTATAAAAGAAGTTTGAAATCATTTTTAAGTGCTCAAATATTGCAAAAGAACTCTTCGTAAAAACAAAAGTTGCAAAATATGGGAAATGCAAAACGGTAATTCGATTTTTTGATAATATAATTATAAATATAATATAAAGTGGAATATTTGAAGCAATTTATAAATTCTATTTAAATCCTATTTTATGATATCTCAAACTAATTAGTGGCTTTCCTCACACATGGGAATTGTTAAATATTTTTAAAGTTCGGAGGGAACATTCTTTTATAATTTGACTCGTTAAAGATAATATAAAATAAAAAAGTATTATTCAGATAATTAAATTTTGGAACCTATATTATGCATTATATGCATGTGCTTTTTCTGTTTTACTGTAGAATATTACTATAGTTGTTTTATACTGTGCTACTATGTGCTACAAAGTCTCATCAATACTAGTATTTACTTCTATTTCTATATATAATTATTGTATTGCTTACTTTGTTTCACGGAATTTCTCAATTCCTTTTCTAAATATTTCATGAGTGAGAACATGTTGCAACATACGTAATATAGCAGGACCTACAACGAAAAAGAAACAATGCATATAAATAAATACGTTTATATTTTAAAATGTAAGTGTATATGTTATACTATAAAATATAAGTGTATAAGTTTATATTAAATTTACTTCAGAATTTACTTCCACATTTAAATTTGTCAAAAGTATATCTGATTTTTCCATACAAAATAATATAGTTTTATTTCCTGTTTCTTATAATTATAATACATCTTTTTCTGTACAAGAAGGTATAATTTTATTATTTTATTATTTTATTATCTTTATTTATTATTGTCTTACATCTTTTTATTGTAACAAAATTAATATGTACGTAAATTGCGAGAAAGTAATTTTAATTTAATTTTCTTATTCGTGACATTTACGACTTTATGACATTTATAACTTTATGAGAACATTCATTTATTATTAATTCAATTTTACCTTTTGTGTAATAGGAAAAAGAAAGTAGGGAATGAATTTCGGAGGGTATGTTGATCTCTGATGAAAGAGGCTTCATAATGGAATAATTGTCTAAACGGAGAGATTGTTGTTGTATCTGCACTACGAATAAATCTGACGTACGAAAATCCGCAAAATACTAGTAACAAAAAATTTAATCAAATTAAAGAATTTTTAAACAGAAAAATATGTTTTTCATATATATTATATTAGTTTGTTTCGTGTACATTACTACGATTTCTATTATTTTTATTAATAATATCTATTGTTTACAATGTATTGTGTTATTTGTGTAAGGAGAGCTTTTTTATATTTTAAATACAAAAAGAGCCACCAAAAATATCCTTTAAATATATATGTAATTTATTTAGATATAAGATTAAGTATCATTGAAGTCATTTAAAAAAAAACTTGATACAAGTTTTCTTTTTATATCTTATGGAAAAATGCAGTTCTGCCAAAATTGTATTTTTTATAATTAAAATATAAAAATATAAACTATTTAGATCATTGTTATTTACAGACTAATAAAATGTTAAGATCTTTTTCATTGTGTGAAGAATCATTTTATTATATTTAATAACCTAACTATAAACGAAATATATTATATATAAAAAAGAACATTATATATAAAACACTTATATATAAAACATTATATATAAAAAAAAGAACCTCATCAAGAACATCTATTCCAAGCAACGTAGCAATACCCTAGTTTAACCAATGATGCGACCACGATGGACTGACTGTATTATCAAACCATTGATGTGCTATTTGTCGTGCAATTAAACAAGAGAATCTATTTTTTTGTCATAGATAATAGCTGTTTCTCTGAAAATTATTTATTAATAATAAAAATATTATTTATCTCTATTTAAAATATGTAGTATGATAAAGTATTGTTCTTATAATATTATACATGTTACATTAAGTATATTTCATGAAATTAATAATAAGATACGTGTGAGAAAATTTACTATCAAACGTATCTTTGTTTTGAAGATCATGTGATGTAGATTTGATATTAAAAAAAAAACTTAAAAATTAAATACATACAAATAATAACATTAATTCACAAAATTGTTATATAATTTGTTAAAATAAAAAAAATCATACGCCTTTATGTATAATGGTATAAAGGTAAATTTTATCAACGAATAAACAAATTATTTATTTTTATCTTATATTAATATGTGGGCTCACAAATTATAAAATATTCTATTTTTTTAATTATAAAATATTATATTTTTTGTGTAAAATATTTTTTTCCGCTCAAAATAAGATCAATTGCACAGTGAATTCCCATTTACATCATAAATACATGTAATATTACTGTCTTGAAGTACGAAATATGTTCTGCTGTTTTTTTATGTTTCTTATAAAATACCATAAATTTTAACAACAGACTTTGAGATAATTTTAAAATTTTATTGTTTTAGTTTAGATAGATATTGTGTGTAACATATATGATACAAATAAAATAAAAACAACAAATATATATTTAAAAACATAATTTAATATCATTTGAATATGTCATTCTTATATAAAATCAATAACTTTATAAATGTGTACGTTATATTATAATAAAATATATTTTATGTATTATCGTATTTATTGATATCAATTTCATTGTAAAATGAAATATATATTATAACATGTATATATAAAAATAATATAATAAAATGTATACATATTTTTTTCTTTTGAAAATTATAATAAAATGTATGTACACTTTTTCTCTTTTGAAAATATCTAATTATAAATGCGAAACATAAGTATCTTTTAAATAAATTATAATCTTCTATATTGTATTTATTATTATTATTTTTTTATTCTACTTATCTGTATTACCTGTAAAGAACGAAACCCCATTTTCCTATGGCATCAAATCGAAGACTCGGCATGAAGACATGTTGAATTGTCGAAATCTCTAAATTCTTCAAATTATTTTTGCAATATATTATACTATTTTTAACAACCCTTATCGCGAATAGTACTTCAGAAGAATCTCTATTCCATAGAATTACGTCAGATGAACCAGAACTAAACGATAAGGGATTATGAAAAGAAAAAATGAATTTTTTAAACCATTTATCTGTCGATAGACAAATTGCCACTTGATAAGTGGAAATTTCAGGAGTGATATCGAAATGCGTCCATTGCATTTTGCTATTAATTGAATAAATTTTTCTGTTATAATTCATATTCGATAAAACTGTGTATTCTTTACGATGTTTTATTGAAATATGAAAAGTTGCTTTGAATTTCGGTTCGTCCCAACATGGAAATATTTGTCGAGCTCCAATTGTCTGGAAATGTGTTGCGTACCACCATCTACAACAGTTTAACAATAAACCTCATATGTAACGCAAAATTATTCCTATATCAATCATACATTTAATCGTTGCATTAAAAACACAGGCCTAAAATCTAAAATTTCGCAGGCCTATGAAATTAATATAAAGTGGAAAATATATTTATATAAAACTCATGAATATAATGTAATACTATATAAAACATACATGTATTTTATAAATAATAATAGTTTAATCTATTTTAATAAATAATAATAGTTTAATCTATTTTTCTATTCGATAAAGTTATATATACTTCACATAGCTTTATTATTAAAATTAAAAGTTTTTTTTTTTAAATAATATTGTAGCATACTTCATTATTATTATTATTATTATTATTATTATTATTATTATTATTATTATTATTATTATTATAATATTATTCTTATATTATCATTATATATTGTATTAATATGTTGCTGTTACTATATATTTTTTATTATAATATATAATGATATTTTTTTATATTGTGCTACAAATATTTATGTAATGCTCAATTATGTTACAACATACTCAAGTAATAATACTAAAATATGTAATTTAATAATAAATTGTATATTTATATAGTAATCTTAAAATATTTAAAATATTTAAAATTTTCTCTTTCAAACACAAACATACATCTCAATCCGTCTATTTAAATTTTTGCGAAGAAAAAGTATATTACGTAACAATAAATAAAAAAATATGAAGTAAAAATATAATAAGCAGTAAAATTTTAAGAAAGTTTTAATACAAAATAAAATAGTAATCAATAATATTTTGTATAATGATAAAACATACATGTTTCCAAAGTTTTTATGTTTATTTACTCACGTTTTACGTCCTGTTTTGTCTACATAAGAATTCTTAAAGATACTTTCATTATTATCATTTAAGAATCCGGTAAAATTCATAATCAAGGAGTAATTTCCACTTGGTATTACTTCCTTAAAAAGGAAGATGTGAATGTGACTTTCATTATTATATGTATTATACTGTGGAATATAACGTTTTTGTTCAATCCATGATTCTTCAAGCAATGAATTTATTAAAATTGCATAATTTATTTTTATTTGCGGTTTCTGGGCGTGCAATCTTATGCTGCTTGTTGGATAAGAAATATTAAGGTAAACATGGCATTTGCCAATAAAATTTGTTGTTTCTAATTCGTCATATGGCAATAACATGATGTGAATGTCATAATGATATGGTATTATATAATCCAGTAAAAATGGATTTATCGAAACCATATAATTCTCCTCGGGAAAAGATGTTGTCGCATTGATGAATATTAATATAATATATAATAATGTGACAAACAACAATTTGAAGCATATCATGTCGAATCTGTTATTCCAGATATCTATAGAGAAAATAATAGTTTTTTCTTTAGTACTAAAAGCATATTATAACAAATTCAGAATTCTTCATTTTCTCTCGTGTGTGATTTTTACTAATTTAAATTTGATAACACTCATAATGTAACATTTATAATATTATGTTTCTCTTACATACGAATTGCTAAATACATTCCATTAATTTGGACATTTTAAGTGTGATTGTCTTATTGTTAGTAGAAATGTTTTGTTATATTTTTTTATTCATAATTAACCATTTGTCAAAGTTTAAATTTTTACGCATAATTTAACATTTCAAAATTAATCTTTTATTAATAAAATCACATTATAAAACAAACATTTTATTTTATTAAATTATTCTATTTTTGAGCAAATAAAAATGTTCATCGAACTTATATTCATGGATAGAAACAAGATTTAACTATGTTAACTATGTTTTATTATATTTTAAAACAAAAGTCTCAAACTAATGTAGTTCATAAATTATTATTATACATATTATTATTACTATTATATTATTATTATTGTTGTTATTAATCATTATTATTATAATTTTATTATAATATTATTATTATTATATTATTATTATATTATTATTCTAACATTATTACTATAATTCATTAATTGAAATATATTTTTGTTCCTTTCATTTTTTTTCAATCTGACATTTTAGTATTTAAGCAGTAAAATTATCCTCTTTTGAAAACTTTTAATTTATAGTTTTGTCAAAAGCAAATGTCTAATCTTTTAAATGAGATACTTTATTTGTTTATTATTTAATTTATAGGTACAAAATATACACAAACTCAATTCTGATATAAATTAAATTTATTGAAATATTCTAATATATAGCCTTGAGGAAATTGAAATTGAAAATAGGAATAAAATTTGAATTCTGTCCAATATTTATAATAAAATATTTCAGTATTTTGAACGAGGGATCATATAGTATAAGATTTGCCTGCCTGTTATATTTAATATTGACATGTTTTCGAAGTCATGTAATTGCACTGTTGACATATTTTCAAAGTCATATAATTTAAATTTAAACTTCTTTCACTTATGTGTAACTGACATCACTTATCTTGTATTATATTCATGTTTGATCGTTATTACTATTTATATATGTATAGTATTTATAAAAATTTTTTGAAGATAAATTTAGTCCATCTCTTTCTCTAAATGCTGCCTTATAAACTAGATTCAAATAAAAAATCACGTACAGAACTAGCGATAATAATTAGCGATTTTGTTCATACAATTAATATAATTAATACAATTTTGTTAATACAATTTATGAACAAAAATAGTTAATATTTGCGAAGCACTATATAATTTAAAGTTTATACTTTATATATAATAGTTATACATTTAACATAATGTTCGAAAAATTTATGTATATGATCTATTTTATTTGTTATATTGTAACTTATATAGAAGATTAAATAAATTTCACTAAATAATTGCTAACATTATGAAATGTCTTTCTTTTTTTTTCTTTAATATATATAAAATATATCATGATTTTAATTAAAAAAAAAATTTTTTTTATCATAAATTTTAGATTTAAAATGATTTAAATTCAAAGTTAGTACAAAATGTTACATTTTTGAAATTATTCACATTTTATTAATAATTTTATTAATGTTGAAAACGATAAATTGTAGAAAATAAACTCGTCAAACTTGCTTTTTAACTAATTTAAATTATATTATCTATATACATTTTGCATTTTTATAAATGTATAAATACTTTTCTGCAATAACTTACCTTATTATATTGAAATTATAATAGATTAAGATATAATTACTTGTTGACAGTAATTGCAATTAGCACAGTATTATCACAATTTGTCAATACCAAACATATATATGTGTATTCGCGATCTTACCATTTCTAAAGATCGTTAAAAACTAACGAATTCGATACATTATAGCTGGTACATTATAGCTGATGTCATGTAAACAAATTATAAAGTCATGTATGATTGTTTCCTTAGTTTCTTAATATCATCAAGATTCGATGTATAATCAAATAAAGCATGTTTCAAATTTAACGTAATTTTTATTAATTTTGAGTTATTAACGTAATTTTTCATAAAAAAAGTAAATCAAGGAACTGTATGATAGATAGATCTTATTAATCTTATTAATCAAATACAGTAGTTAACAATATCAAAAATTACTTTTAAACTTTATAAATAATATTTCGCAAAATTCTAAATAATATTTCATACAAAATAATTATAGTATAAAAATGACACTAACCTTTTCTATTTTATACAATATATTTTCTTTCTCACAATATAATTACAATAACATTATGATAAATAAATAAAATAAAAATAATGAAAACAAAATTCTTCTTTCTTTTGTAAAATTAGATTCATTTGATTCTATAATTCAAATTTAACTTTTCGAAACAAATCTGACATAAGAAGATTATCTAAAAGTACTCGATTAAAAGAAACTTGAAGGTTGAGAAAAATTTGTAAGAAAATTTGATAAAAATACTGGTGAGAAAATAAAAACTCGTATGCATTGTAATTATTGACAATTAGTTTTAGAAATATAAAATAAATATAGAATAAATATAAAAAAAATTTTTCGAGAGATACACTAATTACAATTACAATTACATACTTACATATTAGTCAAGCATATACATAAAACTATTTACTACCGGCGATAACATATGCTGATATTCATATAGACTTTTCTAATCTCCCGCATGATAAAAAGATTGACACACGAAATAAAACTCATTCTGCATATATATATATATATATATATATATATACAGGGTGTCCGAAATGTGTGGGAACACCTAAATATTTCGGAAAATAAGCATAATAGAGAAAAATGTTTCAAACAAAAGTTGTAGGGTTTACAAAGATCTATTTACTAATTTTATCAGTCTGACCTTGAGTGACGTCCCTAAGGTCAGGTCAAGGTCACGTCAATTTTTGCAAACGGAACACTCTATTTATGATACCTGATCATATACCTGACCTTACCTGATGACAATACCTGATCACTTATAGGGAGTTGCTATTTAAGCCCATTCTACAATTACAGTGGTTGCAAGCTACTATTATCGGTTATATTAGAATACGTAAGACGTAAGTTACATTCTTGTGAGAACGTCATTTCAAGTTTTTACAATAGATTAGCATTGCCAGTCTGTTGACGGACGGCAATTTAAGCACTTACAACTTCTAACTTCTCGTATCCAATACGATTTTGTTATGTCGGAACTTACGGATCACGAACGCATAACGTTACTGATGATGCGAGGGTGGGGTGATCGTCGCAGATCTTATAATGAAACGTTGCAGATATTTAATGATACTTTTCGGGTTGGTAAAGTCCCTATATCAAAATCGACGGTACACCGCACAATCGCACGATTCGAAGAAACTGGTCATGTCAAAAATCGATCAAAGTCTGGTAGATCGGTTTCTGCAACAAATGCAGAAAAGTCTTTAGATGTCTTACAATCGTATATTGAGAATCCGCATATATCTATTCGAAAATCTGCGCAACACCACGACATCTCCCGAATGTCTGTGCATAAAATCTTAAAAAAGAATGAATTTCATTCTTACAAGATTCATCCAGTTCAGGAATGATCTGAAGACTATTTCGATCGTCGTGTAGAATTTTGTGAGGATGTCATGCAAAGAATTGACATGGATCCTGAATTTGCGATCAAAATAGTCTTTTCTGATGAAGCGACATTTGAGCTGAATGGCAATATCAATCGTCATAATTGCAGATTTTGGTCAGATGAAAATCCTCATTGGATGATTGAAGCTCACACGCAACATCCGGAAAAATTGAATGTATGGACTGGACTTCTTGCTGACAGGGTGATTGGTCCTTTCTTCATTGACGGTAATTTGACTGCTGAAAAATACAGAACAATGCTTGAACGCGATATTGTACCAGCAATACAACGTGTTGGTGACAATTTTAATGAAATCTGGTTTCAGCAGGACGGAGCATCTGCCCATTATGGTCGAGGTGTACGAGAATACTTAAATGAAGTATTCCCGAACAAATGGATAGGCAGGAGAGGATCAATAGAATGGCCACCTCGATCTCCAGATCTTTCACCTCTGGATTATTTCTTTTGGGGTCATCTCAAAAGTAGAGTCTATACTACGAAACCTAGAAATTTGGACGAATTCCGTCGCCGTATAAATGACGAGGTCTAATACCTCCTCATTTTTGTGAGAACGCTATTTCAAGTTTTTACAGTAGATTGGCGCATTGTCAGACTGTTGATGGACGGCAATTTGAACACTTGCTCTAACTACTCACTCACCCTCTACACGCACACGCATACGCACACGCACACGCACACGCACGCACGCACACACGCACGCGAAGTTTAAATCCGACCGGAGAACCTCCACGTGGTACACCTTGGGTAATGCTAATGCCGACGCCGGCGCGGCAGTACTGTAACTTTCAAGCTCCGAAACTCGAAAAATACTTAATGAAAACTTATTTTATTATAGTGTTTTGAAAAGCTCTTGATACCAGCTATCAAATTCTGGTATCGTAAATAGGGTGTTCCGTTTGCAAAAATCGACGTGACCTTGACCTGACCTTAGGGACGCCACTCAAGGTCAGACTGATAAAATTAGTAAATAGATCTTTGTAAACTCTACAACTTTTGTTTGAAACATTTTTCTCTATTATGCTTATTTTCCGAAATATTTAGGTGTTCCCACACATTTCGGACACCCTGTATACATATACAGGGTGAGCCATTTTAATTTATCCATCCCAATAACTTTTTTATATTTGAATGTACAACAAAATGTTTCAAATAAAAGTTGCTTGACTTCGAGGGGGACAGAAGATGGATGGCAATAATTTGACCTTGGATAGTCATTTGAAGGTTACATAAAGGTTACCTTCAATTTCTTAAATGGAACCTCCTATTTTTCATTGCATATTCTTGCAGCTCATCTCGAGAGCTTTCCAAAACACTATAATTAAGTACCTTTTCATTAAGTACTTTTTGAGTTATAAGGCTTGAAATAATTTCTTAATTTTACATAAACCATAAAATATCTAGTAAACCATTCATTTTTCGATTATCTTACCTTCATACTTTTATGTACAAAATAATGAGAGGAATCAATTGGTGTAAAGAAAACATACAGTTGTTTTTAAGAAAAAATATGGAATTGTTAATTGCAAATTTTGAGTATCATGATTAAATGACAACATGACATATGTCAACCTCTAATGCACGAGTCAGAAGTTGGCTATATCGCAGGGCCGAAAATGAAATGGTGGACGTCGCCCGCGATATTTCAAGCCGGAAAATCTCGTATAATATGTAAAATATTGACATTAAATCATGCATTGCTATATTCATTTCAAACAGCGCTACAACTTTTATTATATCAAAATATCTACATTATTATAAAAAAATTATACATATCTCTCCGTTCTTTAATACAGATAAATTTTGTAATCAACCACTATGCTCACAATAAAGTTCAGTTAAAGCCATTTAATTTCATATATATTTGTTATGGTCTATCTCTTTTAGTTTAAAAGATAAAAGGGGGTGGCCACTTCTAGGTGGTACACCCTGTATATACAGGGTGTTTTATTTTAATCCGACCACCTAAATTTCTCGGAACCTAAGCAAGATAGAGAAAAATGTTTTAGACAAAAGTTGTATGGTTTCAAGGGGGACATAAGATGGTGTCATTAGTTTGATCTTGAAGAGCCACCTGAAGGACACGCGAAGGTCAGCTCCAACTTTTTAAATGGGACACCCTATATGCTTTTGCATATTCTTGTAGCTCAAGAGCTTTCCAAAACACTATAATTAAGTTAGTTTTCATTAAGTACTTTCCAAGTTATGAGGCTTGAAATTATTTTTTAATTTTACATAAACCGTAAAATATCTTGTAAAATATTCATTTTTCGATTATTCATTTTACTTTAATACTTTTATGTACAAAATAATGAGAGGAATCAATTGGTGTAAAGAAAAGACATAGTTATTTTTAAGAAAAAATATGTAATTGTTAATTGCAAATTACATATTTTTTTTCGAAACAACTATGAGTTTTCTTTACACCAATTGATTCTTTTCATTATTTTGTACATAAAAGTATTAAGGTAAAATAATCGAAAAATGAATATTTTACAAGATATTTTACGGTTTATGTAAAATTAAAAAATGATTTCAAGCCTCATAACTTGGAAAGTACTTAATGAAAACTAACTTAATTATAGTGTTTTGGGAAGCTCTTGAGATGAGCTACAAGAATATGCAAAAGCATATAGGGTGTCCCATTTAAAAAGTTGGAGCTGACCTTCGCGTGTCCTTCAGGTGGCTCTTCAAGATCAAACTAATGACACCATCTTATGTCCCCCTTGAAACCATACAACTTTTGTCTAAAACATTTTTCTCTATCTTGCTTAGGTTCCGAGAAATTTAGGTGGTCGGATTAAAATGAAACACCCTGTATATATATATATATATATATATATATATATATATATATATATGTATATTATTTGATTCACAGTATTTAACTCGCTTGTATGTATTGCAGACACGGTCGATCCAAGCAGCTATCATCTATGAATCATTCAATTGATTAGAGTTGCAGTCGGTAATTGATCTCTAATGGTAAAAGGTTGGTACAACCATTATGATTCATCCTGTATATTGTTGCACCCCCGCATCCCGTCCTGCGGATGTATTCGCTACTCGTTATTTTGTCGGGAAGTTCGTCGACGGAAGACCGTCTCCGCGCGCGTCGCCAAGTTATTGTTTATCAACAACGAGTCAGCTGAGTCGGAAGTCTGGAACCAGCTGTCAACCTGAACGGACGCGTTTACGAATCGTCTCCATGTTTCTTATTATTTTCCGCTGTTGTGTGTTCTGTGTCACCACTTGTTGTTGTGTTGCCCATTAAAGTTCTCGTTACCTTAGAAAGTGCTTATTTATTTCACGCGTGTCGCGAGTGGCCGATTTCCTTCGCGCGTCTTCGATATATATCGATTACTGCCTTGATGTCTCGTATAATATCCGGTCTCTTGGTATCGTGACCAAGCTCTGCTCACTACGGACACGGATACATTAACACATTGCGCTATATAATACATGCGAAAGCCTTTTTCAAGAAGTGCGATTATCCGTACAACTTCCGTTACCGCCAAATGTCTGCGCAACATTTTAAAAATTTTATCACTTATTACACTACGAGAATCTTCTGTGAATGTTTATAGTACGCGTAGTACGCGTAATGTTTATGTACATTAACAAAAAAGTATTTAGTTGTTAAACATTTATTTTATTATATTGAGATTTATTTTGAAAAAATAATTAATATGCTAGTATATATCAATTATTGTAACATTGTTATCATTTATATTTATATTTTTTATCTGAATTAAGTGCAATATATATGATATAAATTATATAGCGTACTTATACTGTAATGAATGAGAGAGAAGCTACATAAAATATAATATAGGCTACTTAAGTATTAATTTTTTATATCGTTATACAGTAAATTTTGTTGAAACAAATCAAATGGCAAAAATTGAAGTACGTTTCGTAACTTTTACAGTTTGTACATCTATCCAATTGATTAACAGGTTGTATTCATATTATTTCCTGTTTCAGCATGTCTGGCCCAATTAGGAAAATCCTGAATTCCATAAATGAAAACACCCCACGTTGGGAACAAGATAACTTCTACTATCAAACTGTAGATTGCAGGCGCGCAGCCTCCGGCGATTAACCAATTAGTTGGGATATGTCCGGCGATGGTTATGATTGCATTCGGTGGTGTTCCAACCGGCAGACGGAATGAGAATGAGCACATCAACGTAGCTGGTATCATCAAATACATGGGATGGATCTCCATCGCTACGCACTAGTAGATAGAAGGAAATACCCAATAAACAAAATGCTTGCAATATGCCAGTAAATTGACAAAAGATTATTCAGAAATTGCTGGCAAATTGGCATCATCTGTGTATATGTAGTAAGCTTATGATCTGCTGGCAGAGCCTGCTTACTTGACAGCAATTTCTGTTACAGTTCTGTTAAGACTGACACGATCGAAATTAATATCTTATTAAAGGGATTTTTCAATCTATCTGTTTTACCGACTGTAATTTTTGGGCCATTTTTTATTGTTTGCATAGAATTAAAAATCTTTTTCTACTCTCTAAATACACTACTCAAAAGAAAATAGGGAACACTTTTTGTATACCGAAAAATGAGCTATTTTCAAACGATTGTAACTCAGCGAAAAATGATCATATAAAAATTCGAAAAAAAGCGTTTTGAAGCTCAAAGTTTCAACTTTAACGTACAATCGATAGTTTTTAAAGATCTTTTTATGTTTTCACTACTATGTCCTAAAAAAAGGACACACCGATTTTTTCCTTAAAATTACGTATGTTTGACGCTCTGTAGCTAGATAAGAAAAATTCTCTCGATAAATCCAACTCAATTTCCGAAAAGCATGACATTTTCTCTACAAAATGTTTTTTTTTAAACTTTCCTACAATTTTTTTTGGCTGAGTTACATGACTTTGAAGCTAAACCTGTATTTTTCAGAGCAATTGTCGTTACTCGGCGAAAAATTATCGTATGACATTTTTAAAAATAGCATTTTCAAGCATGAAGCTTCAGCTTTAACGCGCTATTAATAGTTTAAAAAAATTTCTTTATCTTTTTAGTCCTATGCCCTAAGAAAGAAATACTGTTTTTTCCTTAAAATTACACATTTTCGACATTCTGCAGTTGCTATAAAAAATTTTTTCTTAAAAAATTTAGATCAATCTCCGTAAAAATAACTTTTTTTCTACAAAATTCTTTTTTTAAAAATTTATTTACGATTTTTTTCGGCCGAGTTACATGTCTTTAAAAACAACTTTAAATTTTATTAAAAAATGACGTTTCCCGCCGGCATTAGCGTTTCCCAATGTGCACCACGTGGAGGTTGCTGGTCAGGTTTTGCACATCGTGTGTGTGTGTGTGTGTGTGTGTGTGTGTGTGTGTGTGTGTATGTGTGTGTGTGTCACACAGCAGAGATAAGGACCTCGCAGTTCGGCATTTCTGCAGTATTTAACGACTCCAAACCCTCTCTGCTGTGTGTGTGTGTGTGTGTGAGCACACACACATACACGATGTGGCAAAACCCGACCGGCAACCTCCACGTGGTGCACATTGGGTAACGCTAATGCCGGCGGTAAACGTCATTTTTTAATAAAATTTAAGGTTGTTTTTAAAGACATGTAACTCGGCCGAAAAAAATCGTAAATAAGTTTTTAGAAAAAAAATTTTGTAGAAAAAAAGTTGTTTTTACGGAGATTGATCTAAATTTTTTAAGAAAAAAATTTTTATAGCAATTGCAGAATGTTGAAAATATGTAATTTTAAGGAAAAAACAGTGTTTCTTTCTTAGGGCATAGGACTAAAAAGATGAAGAAATTTTTTTAAACTATCGATAGCGCGTTAAAGCTGAAGCTTCATGCTTGAAAATGCTATTTTTAAAAATGTCGTACGATGATTTTTCGCCAAGTAACGACAATTGCTCTGAAAAATACAGGTTTAGCTTCAAAGTCATGTAACTCAGCCAAAAAAAATCGTAGGAAAGTTTTAAAAAAATCATTTTGTAGAGAAAATGTCATGCTTTTTGGAAATTGAGTTGGATTTATCGAGAATTTTTCTTATCTAGCTACAGAGCGTCAAAAATACGTAATTTTAGGGGAAAAAACGGTGTCCTTTTTTTAGGGCATAGTAGTGAAAACGTAAAAAGATCTTTAAAAACTATCGATTGTACGTTAAAGTTGAAACTTTGAGCTTCAAAACGCTTTTCTTAAAACTTTTGTACGATCATTTTTCGCTGAGTTACAATCGTTTGAAAATAGTCCATTTTTCGGTATACAAAAAGTGTTCCCTATTTTCTTTTGAGTAGTGTATATATACAGGGTGTCCCTAAATTCGCGCCCACGGAGTACAAGGCGTGATACTTTAGACTAAAAGAAATAACTTTTTCCTTTAGCAAAATTGCGTGCGATAAGTAGTTTTTGAAGGAGAGCAGGTTGAAGTAAACCAATAGGCGTTCTGGTGTAAGTAGCGCTCAGGGCCGGCGCGCGCGCTTCGCTCACTTGTATCAAATTCTTGACTAGTATTTACAAGTAATGTTAAAACATTAATGCTTTGTTATAATTAATTTACTATGAATTTATTTTTATCTTAGTTATGATTTTATTTTAATTATACATATAATTAGTTAGATTATACTTACAGATTATACTTAGACTATACTTAGATTATACTAGATTATACTTAAGACTCAAATAATAAGAATCAACTTGAATACTGAACCGTGATCTTTTTCCATATTGTATTCTTTAAAAAGTGAATAATTAACAAAATAAATATTGCTTTTATTTCTTACGTAATAAAAGATAAAAGAATGTCTGATTTCATAGATCTATCTGAAAATAGAGACAAATGTAAATAGTAATGTGCTTTGCGAGCTAAACGCGTTTCTATTCTTCTAAATTTTTTTCTTTTTTCATCATTTTCTTACATTTTGGAAAATTTTCTACAAAAATATCAATTGTGCCGCCGGCATTAGGTTTAGCTCGCAAAGCACATTACTATTTACATTTGTCTCTATTTTCAGATAGATCTACGAAATCAGACATTCTTTTATCTTTTATTACGTAAGAAATAAAAGCAATATTTATTTTGTTAATTATTCACTTTTGAAAAAATACAATATGGAAAAAGATCACGGTTCAGTATTCAAGTTGATTCTTATTATTTGAGTCTTAAGTATAATCTAGTATAATCTAAGTATAGTCTAAGTATAATCTGTAAGTATAATCTAACTAATTATATGTATAATTAAAATAAAATCATAACTAAGATAAAAATAAATTCATAGTAAACTAATTATAACAAAGCATTAATGTTTTAACATTACTTGTAAATACTAGTCAAGAATTTGATACAAGTGAGCGAAGCGCGCGCGCCGGCCCTGAGCGCCACTTACACCAAAACGCCTATTGGTTTACTTCAACCTGCTCTCCTTCAAAAACTACTTATCGCACGCAATTTTGCTAAAGGAAAAAGTTATTTCTTTTAGCCTAAAGTATCACGTCTTGTACTCCGTGGGCGCGAATTTAGGGACACCCTGTATATATACAGGATGTAACAGGAAAAACATGTAAAACACATTATTTGATACAATACAATAATCCAAATCAAAAAGTCCTGAGATATTTTTTATCCTTTCTTTCTGTTTTTATATGGTATTAAAGTTAATGAGAAACAGGAAAAATAAATAGTCAGAGGATAACGAGATTCGAATAATCCGATTAGGCTATAGACAAGCGCTGGTTAATTAACATTAACACCATATAAAAACAAAGAAAGAAAGAAAGAACAAAAAGAAAAGAAGGCGTAGATAAAAGAATGACTTAAAATTTTTCTATTTATCTTGTTATAATTAATAGTATTCTATGTTTTTTCAATTACATCTAGTACACGCACACTCTTATGCATGCATGTACAAATACAAGCATATAAATATGAAAAAATGTACCATTTGAGCTATCACTGGTAGAGTGATATTCGCGATACCCACGTTCGAGGTGAATTCCGTTATGATACCTTCAAAGAAGCATACCAAGGCAAGTATTACGATGGGTGGTAAGTAGCGAAGCGGTAGCAGAGCTTCGCCGATTCGTTTTGCCATACAGGACGCAACACTTCCACGCGAGATTGCGAAACCACCGCCCAATAAAAACATTAGACTCCACGGCATCTTGGTCTCGATTACTTTCCACGTCATTAAACCTTCCGACGATCTTTTTGGCCTTTTAGCGGCTGCGATATGCATATAATCATAGATATAAAGTGTAAATAAAGCCTCATCGCCCTAAGACATTTTAAATAAATGTAGTTCTTTTTAAATGGATACAGGAAGTTTTTTTTAGCAAAAAATGTATATAGGCAATGTCACATTGGCTATCAAAAAAAATTTTGCATTTTCAAAAATTCTTTATATTATTCGATAACTATTGTATGACATTGTATCTACTAGTGTGTTTACTTAGAAAGCTGCCAAAATTAATAGATTTAGCGTATTATTTTTTTTCAAATGTTACATAAAAGTTTGTAACTTAATATATTTTACAAAAAAAAATCATAATTCTCTGTTTAAAATTATTATTATATCAAAGATTATATTGATAACGAGATTTTTTCTTCTTACGATCTTGACTATAACTGTAAATGAAGCTGGGGTCTTTCGGAATGAAGAACATCAGGATAGAAACGAATATCACCGGTACTGAATCTTTGAGGTCTCTGCGCATATATATTATTTATATTTATATTATTTATATTTTTTATGATATTATGTATGTACACGCACCGGGAGGAATGGTGTCTCGGTATGCTTGTGTTGACGCTCACTGACGTCACATTCACACAAGCGCGCATGTACACGGGCTGAACAGCGAAAGAGAAAGTGGGAGTAGAGTAGTGGGGGGCATTCCGATGTTGTGTCCTTCGTGCACGGCACAAGAGCGAGAGAGAAAGCACTATAAGATGTGATACCGAGTTAAGGTGCAATTTCATTGACGCTAAAAAGTAGCGTCAACCATTGGTTAAACAATGAAGCAACTACTTACTTCTTTGTTCAACCAATGATTGACGCTACTTTTTAGCGTCAACGAAATTGCATCTTTAGAGGTGTCCGATAGCCATCTCTCTCGCTCGACGCTCGAACGAGAGAATACGAGCGAGAGTCACTGCGCGAGACACCGCGCTATTTCGATACATGTCTCTTGCGCTCTAGTATTGATATGCGTATTTTCTTTTCTTTCTTTAATAACCGTCTTAACCACGTGCATTAAAGCATTCATTCTATTAAATTAAATAATAATTAAATTACATAAAAAGATAAAATTTAATGAAGTAATAAATTCTTGGCTATGTGCGTGCTTCGCGTGTGTGCGTAAGACGTCGGTCGTCCACACATACATACCGGGACACCTTTCCTGCCGATGCGTGTACACGCGAATGAGAAAGAGAAAGAAGTGAATGAGAAGTGCGAACGAAACAGTTACCGCGCGGGATACCGCGCTGTTTCTATACGTGTCTCGTGCGCTCTAGTATGCATACTTTTTTTTCTTTCTTTAAGAAATGCGACTTAACTATGTGCACTGAAGGTCGACATTCATTCTATTAAATTAATTAATAATTAAATTATATAAAAAGATAAAATTTAATGAAGAATAAATTATTGGCTTACGTACAATACCGGTCAAAAATATATCACCTTTTTTTTAGGACTACTAACTTAATTCAAAGTGTATACATATATTAATTAATTTTTCTTAAGTTGCTGTGTTCATTATTTAATGAAAAGTCTATTGTTAAGTAACCTATATCTTACTATTAAAATATATGATTAAACAAAAATATACACATTTTGAATTAAGTTCACTTTGAGTTAAGTTATTCTCAAAAAACATAAAGGTGATATTTTGGCCGGTACTGTATGTGTGTACTTCGCGTGTGTGCGTATGACGTCGACTGTCCATACATATACAGTGTGACAGGGAATTTTTGACATTAACGAAGTAAGGAGATTGGCTTAAATTAAGAAGGAAGGACCTCTATTGTTTTATGATTGTTGCAATAATTAACGAAAAATTAAATAAAGAAGATCGGCCAATGCGCATGGCTAGAAGCACACGATGGCAAAGACGATCTGATTGGAACATAATGACGGCGCGCGACGAAGCGGTGATTGGGGAGAAGAGGAGCGAAGAGCGTGGCGAAGGCTCCTCCCCTCCCCAATCACCGCTTCGCCGCGTGCCGCCATTTTGTTATAGTCAGACCGCCTTCGCCGTCGTGTGCTTTTAGCCACGCGCATTGGCCGATCTTCTTTATTTAATTTTTCGTTAATTATTGCATCAATCACAAAACAATAGAGGTCCTTCCTTCTTAATTTGAGCCAATCTACCTCCTTACTTCGTAAAGGTTAAAAATTCCCTGACACTCTGTGTACCGGGACACCATTTCTGCCGGTGCGTGTACATATCATTATTATCTCACAAAAAAATCAGAATACTAACATATCAGTGACTAATTCGGACCATCCGACTATGAAACCGGGTTTGCGGAATATCCAAAGAAATACGCATGTCAAGAATAATGTGGCGACTCCATACTCGTGAAAAGTTATGGATCCCAAATTTTTATATCTTTCTTGCATAACCTGAGAGTGTATTATCACTTGTCAAAACAAGTTCTCAACTAATGAATTTAAAATTACATTTTACAATTTCGGCATTTTATTTTGTAACTGTAACGGTAATGTACTTACACTTTTTTAGTAAGGATAACAAATTTATGTTATTTTTATCATTATTTTTTATATTTTGAAAATATTTATGATGTATTTTTGTATATTTAATTTTCAATCATCGATCGATATTCATACATTGAATTCGGATGATACAAAGGAAAATATTAAGAAAAGGGCTGATTTTTAGCTCTCAAAAATGTAAGCAAAAGGAAAATAGTGTTTTTTTTGTTTTATTTTTTGTAGATTTGATCTTCTGAATACGATAAAACTACATATTAAAAAATTCGTCGAGTTTAAGAAAACATTTTGAAAATTGAACAATATAATGTGTGTGGCGATACACGCCACACGAGGTGTTTCGCGATAGCGCATTGACTCGGCGCGCGGCAACTCTGCTTTCTCTGTTTTCTCCCAAGCGCGCGAGCACGCGGCGACTCTGCTTTCTCGCAGGCGCGCAAACACGCGGCGGCTACTTATAAGCTGCGCGCCTAGTACCGGGCACCTCCGCCAGGCGTCGCACGCCAACTGTGTTTTTCCCGCAAATCAAAGACAGCATTCGGCAAATATAAGGAGGACCCCCGCAGAGCCAAGTCACCTCTCACATCTCTCGCTTCTAAGCATCACGAGAAGAAAGAAGAAGAGCAGCAGAATTCGAGAAGAGCAGCAACTTCAGCGACATCACGCGTCAGAGAACGTACCTCCTCTCCCAGAGGAGATCACCGCTAAGAAGAGGATGCGACCAGCTCCGCTGCTGTCAAGCAGACGGAACAACGAGGCGACAACAGGAATACCCGTGGCATTCTCTCCGCTACGAAGGACCACCTCGACCAGCAGGAGTCCCCGATCAGTGGAGGGCCCACAAGAGTTTAGACCTTACTCCCGGAAGGTCATTCTCGGGATCTGCATCCCGGCCTCTCTCAACGAAGTAAGGAAGGTCGTCTATGATCCTTCTCTAACGCCAACCATAAAACGAGGGCGTAACAGGACTGGCCTTACCATCGCCTTCCAGCCACGCGGCGTAAAAAAGGCCTACGGAAGGCCTAAGGCTGTCCTCCGTCCGAGGCCAACCTCGCCGTTACCACCTCCGGTCTCATCGGGGCCAGTACAGGTCCCGTCAATATTGTGGTACACGCCACCACGCATTTCCCACGGGACCCACGAATATCCAACTCTAGGCTTCAGGCGGTCATCCGGTCTACGGCCACGCAGACGTCAACGAGCACGAGGGACGAGTCTACCCAGACCGACAGGATCCGAGAGGAGTCCACCCGATACCGGGTCCGAAACGCGGGGACGCAGATCCGATCCCCGAATCGACACACATATACCAGACGATATCACAAGTCCTATACGTTAATGTACAATTAAGGAATAAATGTTATTTTTACCGTTCCTACCGTGTGATTATTAAGTAAGAATCTACCATATTCCCAGCGGTTCCCTACAATGTGTATATAAGCCTATATAATGTGTATATGACACGGAACAAAAACCTTGATGGATGTCCAGTAGACGTCCATTATGGAGATTCGAAACCTTTATTAGATGCACTCTTTTATAGACGTCTATTAGAGATTTACAATTCCGCATTTCTTACTTCCATTCGACATCCATTAGACATATTCATAGATGCCACTTGGATGTCATATAGACATTAACTAGAGGTTATAAAAATTCATTTCTGAATATGGACATCATATAGATATTAATTAGAGCCCCAAGTAGCACATATTCGTTTGAAAAATGTTTCATAAATGTCTTATATATTTCTTTGAAACGTTTCATAACTGACTCTTAAGAAAATGTAGTTTGGAACAAAATTCATCAATAAAATCACTTACGTCTGCTGTAATAGTTCGCAACGTTGCTCTATGTTGCTGTTCACGTACTATATTGTACTATACTTTATCAATGAATGCATTTCTTAAAGCTTCAGACAATGTTTTAGAAAATTCGTCAATTGTTGGACACTGATTGCATGAATCCAAGTAACAATCAGATGTAGGATTTTTGCAGACAATTGACTTTATACAATTCTTGATAGCTACAAATTGAATTGTCAAACTTTCGTTAACGCTGCTACATTTATTGCATCTAACATCAGCTTATAGTTCTAGTGAATAGTGTAACGGCAAGGCCGTTACTAGCGCACAAAACCGCGCGGCGCCAATTTGGCGCCAAGCGCTGCCGATTGAGCACCTCGACCGAGCCGCGGAATTGGAAGCCGCGAATTGAGGATCGCGGCCTACCCCACTACTACGCGCATGACCGCATGGGGGTATCAAGTGGGGGTAGCTAGCCGGGCTATATAAGGCGGCCGCTCCGGCAGACCGGTACCTATTCCTGTCCCGACTCTCGGGACGCTCAAAGCCACAGGACGCACCCTGGGCAATCGAAGCCTACCGAGCTCCTCTCCTTGCTGCTGGTCCAGAGCACGGTCTCCACCGTGCCCGGTCGGGTGCTTCCGACTTCCAGTAGCCTTCCATCGAACCACGGACGATCCGGTCCAGGGTACGGGGCTCCCGTACTCGGTCGGTCGCAACCGACGCCCGGACTGTCCGGCTCGCATCCTGGCATCCGAACAGCCGTTCTCACGGCTCCTGGAACAACTAGCCGTTTTCACGGCTCCTGGAACAACTAGCCGTTTTCACGGCTCTTGGTATTAACAGCCGTTTTCACGGCTTCTGTAACGACAGCCGCTCTTACGGCTCCTGGCTCGAGGACGAGCGCCGTACCTGAAGGAACCATCGCAGCTCCTGGAGGACAGCCGTATCCACGATACCTGAAGGAACCACCGCAGCTCCTGGAGGACAGCCGTATCCACGTCTCCTGGACATCGACCGCCCACCCGTTCTGCATTTCTCACGGCCCTCCGCGGAATAATACTGTCTTGAAATAAACTGATTTTCTCTCTCTCCTCCTACCAGATCCTCAACCGACCTTTCGTCACGGCCGCCCGACAAATCGTTCGTCCACCGTCCGCGCGTTTATTCTGGGGGGGTCCTGTTTAATTCCCCTGGTCTAGAGCCCGGTTGCTACCGGGCCCGGTCGGTTGCTACCGACGTCCAGTATCCCAGCGTACCACGGGGCACGCGTGTACGCCACCCGGAGGACGGGTTCTCCCGTCCTCAGCCGACCTCGGTTGGTGGCACACTATCCTCTAATTGACCTCCTATCATTCTTTTACTATTAACCCGTTGTTGGCTAGGATTTCTTGATCGTCATCAGAAGAGGCCATAAAAACCTAAGAAGAAGAAGAAGAAGACCTCGGTTGGCAGACCCTGCTAGGCCTGTGTCTGTGCCCCGTTGCACGCGACCACCCCTGGTTTCTCCACGGTCCGCGTTCGAAGATCCGTCCACGCGTTTTGTAAAAGAAACATTGTAAATATCTTGAGTAGCATTAGGCCGTATCCGTTAGTTATTAGAATTAGGATAATTAAAGCCGCGTCCGAAGTTCCGTCGCGACTCCGTGTAAATAATAAGCATACATTAGCGTACTTGTACGGGCCTACCGCCCGAAACTCTCGTCTGTTTGTTCTTTTTCTTTAAAATAAACTTATTTTAGATCATAACTGTGTGGTGTTTTGCGAGTCTGAGCCTCCCCTTCTCCCGAACCCTGACTCCGACGAGCCGATCCGCGACGTCGGGAAAGGTGCTCCGTTACAATAGTACAAACACATACCGAGTGTGTTCCACTAGCTCCAGGCAGTATACAATGCTTCGGGCGAAGCAAAGCTTTGCAAAAGCATTAAAACTAATTGTATTTTTGGATAGAATTCTTTGAACAATCTATGTAGCTCTTTAAGATCCATCAATAACAGACGCTTTTGCACCTTAACACGATTGCCATTAACTTTTACCGACACAGTATCCTTTACCCCAGGTAATAATCTACTAAGTGAATCGTCGTTATAAAATTCATTTACTTTCGTAGTAGTAGAATCTGATAAGGTTTTACCACTTTTTGCAATTACTTCCGCCAAAACTCCTCGAGTTGACCTTAGTTTTTTAGCTTTTCCTGCCAAATATTTTGTTGTGCCAAACTCTCTAGAAATTTTCCTAATACTCCAAGATTCTGGAGCAATAGTAAGAATTCTCAGTTTCATAGGATCGTTACATTTCAAGCTTAAAAATTTATTTTTCAACCCTTGTAAAAGTTCTTCTAACTCGAGCAACCGAGAACAAAAATTCATCTTCATTATTAAGGGAATCGTTATCAGCTGCTGATAAGCTTTCATCACACTCTATATTAACATTATTTTCACTAGAACGATCAAAGGACATACCACTTGCTCGATTAAGTGAACGTTTTAATCTACAATCACTGCATACCTTAGAATGTTCTGGCAAATGAGGTTTCTCTTGCAGAAGTATTTTTGATACTTTTCTTAAATTTAAACCTACATGATGTGGTACACCTCTTTATAGGGATTAATATATCTGCTTGTACGAACTCTCTTTGACATTGTTCACTGTCGTACTTATCGAAAAAATATGACAAAGAGTAAAAACAATTGAGTACAAAAAAATTTTTATGAAACAAAGAAACTCTAAATTCCCAAGATATATCAGAAAGTAGGTTTGGAAAATTACTGATTTACTATTTGCTGTTTGAACACACTTGAACACAATTAATAACAAGCAGTAATCGTGAAAACAATTGATGAAAAACCTGCAATAAACCGTCGCCCGAGAATAGTGAAAACGACTGTTTGAACATGCTTGAACGCAATTAATGACAAACAATAGTCGTGAAAACGACTGTTTAGACAAATTAAAAGACAATTTATAGTAAGCATGCCCCAGCTATTTGAAAAGTCGTTTCTTTTGTTGCAAATTTGTTTAATACATTATGTATTATGCAATGACGTATATAACTAGATTAAGCATTCTCAGAGAGAGGTGAAACCGGAAATTGGCAGTTTAAGACAGAGTGAGAACGTTGAACAGCATCTATGCTTTCCTTTTCTATCATACAAGAAGCAAATGACCGTCCCAAAGCTGTCAGAAGCTATACAGGGTGTCCGTCAATTTTCGACCTTAACGAAATAAGTAGATTGGCTCAAATTAAGAAGGAATGACTTGTTTTGGGATTGTCGCAATAATTAACGAAAAATTAAATAAAGAAGATCGGCCAATCTGCGTGAATAGGAGCGCGCGGCGACGAGAGTCGTCCCACTGTAATCCCATACTACGAGCGCGGCGAACCGGTGGGCGGGTCGCTCTCCGAGACACGATGGTGGTTTGCGATATATCGCAATACCGCGCCGAAAAATGACCCGTCCTTTTAGTGGCGAGAAAATGATGCGTTATCCTTTCCACACTACCTTGCGATAGATAGCATGGTGCGCTTTTTTTTATAGTGGTTTCCCCCATAGGCCTATTCCACTCTCAATTTGAAAATTATTCAAAATGCTATTACTATACGCTAAATATATCGTAAATGTAAAAAATTAATGGTGACAGTACCTTTACAAAAATTGATCCATGGTTGAAAATCCCTCAATAAAATATTGCACACGTTGATAATGATACGATGCTAATACGATGATAAAATGCTTCAAGAATCCTTTCTTCATCTTGTACACGAAAGCGCATTGCTGGACCGGTTATCCCGACATTATGCACAAGACATCCAGTTTCACGTAATTGCTGCACAACACGTAAAATTGTACGTCCACTTGATTTTTGTGCACGCCCGGGAAATCGTTCCGCGTAAATCGGATTACAGTGGGACGACTCTCGTCGCCGCGCGCTTCTACTCACGCAGATTGGCCGATCTTCTTTATTTAATATTTCGTTAATTATTGCGACAATCCCAAAATACAGGTCATTCCTTCTTAATTTGAGCCAATCTACTTCTTTATTTCGTTAAGGTCGAAAATTGACGGATACCCTGTATATTTTTATGTATATTTTTACCAATTTTACTCGTATACTGTTTCGCATGTTCAGTTAGCGTTTGTGTCATATCACGTTATATTGCTTTTGACACTCTATAGAATAGAAAGAGAAAGCATAGAGGTTATTCAACGTTCTTTCTTTGTGCTAAACTGTCAATATCCGGCTTCACTCCCCTCACCTATAAACTATATGAAAGCTTGGTCTTAGTCAGTTATATACGTCGTTGATTTATGTACTACAATACAAAAATCAACAATATTGATATAGTACAATATTTATGCAATTTTAAACTAACAGCTTAATTGATTATGAAAGCTTGGTCTTAGTCAGTTATATACGTCATTGATTATGTACTACAATACAAAAATCAACAATATTGATATAGTACAATATTTATGCAATTTTAAACTAACAGCTTAATTGATTAAAATAATTTTAAATTAAAGCTAATAATAAATAATTAAATAAATTAATTACTAGATATGTCATGCGTAAAATTACTATGTTTGTATATGTATTAATTCAAACAAAATATAAACATAAGTTTGAGCATACGACGCGAATAAACTTTATTATATGTGATTTTACTTGATTAGTAACGACTTCTCCTTCATGTCCAATTGTAGCCATTTCAGCGTCTTTACTGTGCGGCCTCAGATATCCCAGAAAAGCGATTCGCACGTATATCCAAGTGAGGAAGGAATTGACGATCATCTGAGGAAAAGACGCGATCATCCAATCAGTGAAATTAATTCCCTCGGCTTCGGGAAATGTGCTCTCGTAGATTCCTTTAAAAGTCAGATTTGTGCCAGTCCCCACCAATGTTCCTGTTCCACCGAACGTCGAGCAATAAGCCGCAGCTAACAAGTACGCCTTTGTTATTTTCGTCGGTCTTATCTCGCTATGAAAGAGGATCATTATATAATATCGGATAAAAATATAGCTAAGAGAACATCATTTAAAAAATTTGTTACCTCCCAATAAAGATTATAATTTAGAAGCAACAAAATAAAATGTTACAAGTAATATATACAAAGTGATAACTTTTTGCAATCCTGAAGTGTGAAGATAGATCTTAAATTAAGAAGGAACGTCCTCTATTGTTTTAGGATATTCGCAATAATTAACGTCGCTCTCCAAAATATGATGGCGGCGGTGTTTCAGCGTTACGTTAGTGAATAAGCTCTGCTCATCGCTTCATCGCGCGTCTAGTATCAAATTACAGTGGGACGACCTTTCTCACTGCGCGCTTATACTTATACGGATTGGCTGATCTTCTTTAATTAATTTTTCGTTAATTATTGCGAATATCTTCTTTAATTAAATTTTCATTAATTATTGCGAATATCGCAAAACAATAGATGACCTTCCTTCTTAATTTGAGCCAATTTCAATTTTTTGTCTATGTCTAATTTTGTTTATGTCCAATTTTAATAATTTGTATTTAGTTTTAATAATTTATTATTTCGTAATTTATATTATTATTTATATCAATTAAGTTTATCACACACACTTCACTTACGGTGGAATATCCGGTTTTTCAGGATCTATTATTTTCGATCTGAACACTCTACCCACTCCAGCCTATAAAATAAAAAGAAACACAATTAAACGTGATAAAAATACAGAATATAAGTAAACATGATAAAAATATAGAATATAAGTTTTATAATATAAAATTTATATATATTACGCACAATATTTATATATAATATTTGAATGGAAATATTGTTTCTATAATATAATAGAAATTTTCTAAATTTTAGTAATATTATATGTTATATGTCAAAATAAAATATAAATATATAATATCAAAGTTAATTGTGAGAGGAAGAATGAAAAATATTATACATATATTATTATGTATTATATAATGCACAAACACATTAATGATAAAATAAAAAATATATTTTATTATTATTAAGTTTTATTATTAATTATTCTTATTATTAATTTTTATCATTTATTATGCTATTATATTATTATTAGGATTAATTATTTTTATCATTAGTTATATATGAATATGTATCATATTAAATATTAACACCTGTTCTAATTCGCGTAGGACGGCGAATATGATAGGCACCATCATAGCGGTGGCTGCAGTATTTGACACCCACATGGATATAAAAGTTGTAACAATGCAGAGACCACCGAGTAGTTTCGCGTGGCTACAGCCAACCATTTTCATAACCCCGAGAGCAATTCTGAGATGCAAATTACTATGTTCGATAGCGATGGCGAGGATCAAACCGCCGATGAATACCATTATAGTATCGTTCATATAACAAGCGCACGTATCCGCTGTACTGAGTATACCTAATGCCGGAAACATCACTATTGGAATTAGCGATGTTATTGCCGTAGGGAAGCAATCAGTCACCCAGTAGCCGCCCATCAGCAACACCACATATGCACATCTGACTTCCTGCGAAAATCACGTAGCCATTATGATTTAATTTTATGCCTATATCTGAAATTTAAATTCAAAAAAAGAAACTAAATTTATAAAATTCAGTTATTTTTTTATTAATTTTGAAAAAAATAAAACTAAAAATTAAAAAGATTAATAAGAAATAGAGTACCGAACAGTCATAAATTAAAAGGAAAGGTAAAAGAAAGAGCGCCCAGAAGAGTGCGAAAACTATCTTCCAATAGATCTTGAGAAAACGTCCCGTATCTCTCAAGTAGCTTAGTAGTTTTCTCAGATAGTCGAAAAGTTCTTCTTCTCTTTCAATCCTAATCAGAAAATTTATTTTGTATTTCTTTATTATATAGATTCATAGTAATAATTTTAATTTTCACTAAGTTTGAATCTCTTGAAGCTCCTTAATAGACACACACACACACACACAAAACTGCACGCAGAAGTTTAATTATTTTACAATCTTCTAGTAATATAAATGTTACTTAATGAAACTATTCTGAGGAATTTAATTAAATTTATCGCACATTAACCTTTCCATTGGCTCTTCATTTTCATTATCCCTCTTTTCGACCATATTATTTAAGAATTAGATGCGTTTTCTACAAATCTAATATCTTGTCAAATAATCAATATTAATCTGAATATTGATTACAATTCGAAGATGTATCGATTTTGAAATTTCATTCGAGTCTTCATTAATTTGTTTCTAATCAATAATATCACAGCAAATTTCAAATCATCAACACATGTGTAAATGTTAATAATAATAATTTATTCAATTAATAATTTGCATTTCATATATCATACAACATTATTTGTCATATAAATTTCAGCTTAGGACTCGAAAATCTAATAAAATAATAACAACCTATAATCTATTATATATATATATACACTCGTCAACAAAATTATCGCATAGGTAATTTCATATCAAATTTTCGCATAATTTCAAATAAGTATAACTCCGTCAAAAATGGTCGTATGTGAAAATTTTTTTTCATTCTCAAGTTTAAAACCTCTATTTTGAAAATCATTTGTCAGATTTAGAATTTATCCTCCCCTCCTCTCGTTATCTCCTCAAAAGTAAGGACGTGTGACGTCTCCAAAAAATTGCATACTTCGACGCATTCCACGGGCTGGAATAAATTTTTTTCGCAAATTTCATGATGATCATCGTAAAATATGGACTTTTATGTATAAATTAAAACAGAAAAATTTTTTTGTACAATTTTTTTTCGTTGAGTTACGATATATCAAAGTTATCTATACATTTTTGTTCATTTATCGCCAACCTTAGTATTACCCGATGCGCTTCACGAGGAGGTTGCTGGTGGGATTTGGCACATCATGTGTGTGCGTGCGTGCGTGCGTGCGTGCGTGCGTGCGTGCGTGCGTGCGTGCGTGTGTGTGTGTGTGGGTGTGTGTGTGTGTGAGTATGTGAGACAACAGAGATAAGGACCCTACGGTTCATCATTCTTGTAACATTTTTTGACTCCAAACACACACACACACACACACACACAGACACACAGCAGAGAGGGTTTGGAGTCAAAAAATGCTATGGGAGTGGCGAACCGTAGGGTCTTTATCTCTGCTGTCACACACACACACACACACACACACACACACACACGGATTGGCTCAAATTAGAAAGGGAAGTCCTCTACTGTTTTGCGATTTTCGCAATAATTATTGAGAAATTAATTAAAGAAGATCGACCAATTTACGTGAGTAGATGCGCGCGGCGACGAGAGTCGTCCAACTGTAACTTTTATAGGCGCTTGGCGAAGCGGTGAGTAGAGAGGGAGTGGAAAGCTTTTCCTTCACTTACTACTTCTTCACTGATGTGTGTGCGTGTTTGCATGTGTACGTGTGTGCGTATATGTGATAAAGATCTTTTGTTAAAGAAATTTAAAAATATTGGATATCTTACACTGGAGAGATCTTACACTCGAAATATTTATGTCACTGTGAAATGTTTAATATCTCTATTCAAAACAAAGAAGGCAATTTACTTCTGCAAAGTAATAAATAAATTTAAGATTTTTAACTTTTTTTTCCTCAACATTTCTGTTTTTTAAAAGCCAATTCAATTTGTGATTAAAAATTGTAAAAATTTTTAGTATATCTGAAATTTTACATATCTAAATTCATAGACGTATAATATATAGATTTCTCATTTGGCTAGAAAGTTGTACAAATTTTAGAAAGAGGCAACATGCTTTCATGGCGTTAGTTTCTCTGTCTATTAATAACAAAAGTGAGACAAAAATTTAATATGGCCACTGCGTTTGACATATGTCTTGATCGACTTTTTTTTCGCCACCACGCATCGTAAACAAGAAAGAAACTACCACGAACATAAGCTCTCTCTTTCTAAAATTTCATGCTACCGAAACAAAGAAGAGAGTAGAAATGCGCAATTTATATTGTATTACGTCTATGTCTAAATTTAATCATTTTTTCTCTGAAGAAAAGAATCGAATGACAAAATTATTTCAAAAATTTTGAAAAATAATTTTTTTTGCAATTATTTAATGATATCATTAATATAATTATCATAATACTTTCTTATAATATCATAGTACATAATTATCATAATACTTTCTCAATAATATTATTAAAATATAAATTTTTTTTTATAAAAGTATTATATTTGTGATATTAAGTCCTTATGGAGCTAATTAATTATCGATAATTAATCATAATAGCTTTATTAATTAGATAATTAATTATAATAGCTTTATTAATTAGTTTTAAAAATTAGTAATTTAGTTGATTGATGGTCTGATTTTTATTTTATTTGTGAATAATTAATCCTATTCTGGTAAATATAAAATGGTAGATAAGTATATTCTTTATCCTTAATTATCGTTATATATAATATGCGAAGATTATTAGCTAAACGAACGGCAAAAGTTTATGGCTTTCGGCCGATATTATGCTGGTCTGCCCAATCCGGAAATTCCCCGATACCGTAGATGAATGCTCCCCAAGTGGGGAACAGGATAATTTGCACTATCAAACTGTACATTGCGGGGAAGCATCCGGCCGCTATTAGCATTCGAGTTTGCAGGTGGCCTGCGACGGTTATGATTGCATTCGGTGGTGTGGCGACTGGCATTCTGAACGCATACGAACACATGAGAGTCACCGGCATCATCAGATATAATGGATGTATCCTCATTGCCACGCACTTCGAATGTAAATATAAAATATTATTTGTACAAAAAATTATTCGCGTTAACAAATATTATAAAAATCAAAACGTAAAGTATTTTTTGTTTTATATTACGATTTTTATTTATTACTTATGCATAAATTGGACTTATTGCTGAAATATTTAAATTATTGTTAAAATATAAGCTAATGACTATTTTTCAATATAATCTTTGAGAAGATTGATATATTTTTTCAACTTTGATATGAGTTTGAAAATTTTCTCACGATAAAACTTCGACTGTCTCGAGAAAAGTCCAGGCCTCTTCCTTATAAATTTTCCTCATGATAATGTTAGACCTTACTCTACACATCAAATTCAGAAACATTTATAACCATTAGATTAGAATATTATGGAATATCCTCTCTACAACTTGAATTTATTTTCTTTCGATTTCCACTTGTTTGGAATAATTATTGGCTGAAGAATCTTGGAAAAGGACGATTTCTAAGTGATGCAGCAGAATAATACAGAATACTAAGACTACTTCAAGAATGAATTAAATAATAAGAGTTGAATGTTTAAAAAATTTTTCAAAAAATCTTCAAAATCATGTGAAAATGGGATAAATACATCAATGCTTTTCAAAATTATTGAGAAGTAATCATTAACTTTTACTTAAATACTAATATACTATTGTAAATAAAAATCGTAATAAAACAAAGAATTTACTTTTTGATCTATCTTAGTATTTGTGTGGACTCTCACCATGTGAGCGACGACGGGCAGAAGTATATTGGCTGTACCAACATTCGAAGTAAACTCTGTCATGGTGCCGACAAAAAAAAGAATTACAGCCAGCATTAGCGCGGGAGGTAATTCCTTCAGAGGTACTAGAGCCAGCCCTACCTTCATGGCGAGTCCGGAGACGCTGCTACCTTTTGAAACAGCAAAGCCGCTGCCTAACAGGAACACTAATCTCCATGGCATTTTTTTATGGATGACTTGCCATGTAATTAGGCCTTCGGACGATCTTGTCGGCCGTCTGAAAGCTACGCAGTCATACGAGATTTCGTGATCACTGACGTCAAACACGCCCGAAGCTAAGCGGAAAGACGAGTCGAGTAACAAGTCACTTTTCGCTTATCTTTTACAAGAAAGGATCTTAATAAGTAACTTGCTACTCGAGTCGTCCATACTGGCTTTCGATAATCATGGCTTATAGAAACTCTTACGGTCCTTGCTCCAAAAACGCACAAAGGTGGGGTCTTTCGGGATGAAGAACATTAGCAGGCATACGAAGATCGCGGGCATCGAGTCTGCCAAATGCCTATTGATAAATTCTTGTGTAATTTTAATATAATTATCTGAATAGCACAAAACATCCTAAGAATTATACTGAATATATTCAGAATGATATTTCAGATATTTATATCATTACAAATATATTTTATGAAAATTAATATAATTACTTTCTATTATGGAAGATATTTAATATAATTTAGAAAAATATATACAGGGTGTTCGGAAATTCAATCAACAAATTTTCAAAGATTGTCGGGAGTATCATAAGAATCATTTTTTGCAAATGAATCTAGGATCGGAAATGTGTCATTACATCGCTACAGTATATGGAGTGTTCGAAAGAGTCGGGATCTCGAAATATCACAAAAAGTAAAAGTTTTACAAAAAATTGTTTCAAACGTTGTAGCACAAAAGTTGTAGGGTGTAAAAAGGTTTATTTACTGGCGCCAAATGTTTGATCTTGGATGGCGTTGCCAAGGTCACGACAAGGCCACCTTGAATTTTTGAAATGGAACCTTCCACTTTTTATTACATATTCTTGTAACCCTTTTCGAGACCTTTTCAAAGCACTAATTTTACCAACTTTAAATAAGCCGGTTCGAAGTTATCGAGCTTTTCATGGTCTCAAGATGTCTCGCTTACGAAGGCAAGAGATCCAAACACAAATTTCCCAGATTGGAAGATGATCTAGCCAATCATGGCAAGATCGATGGCTGATCCAATCGATAAAGGCAAGATCGACGCTTGATCCAGCCAATAAAGGCAAAATCGGGGGTTGATCAAGCCGATGAAAGCTCTGTATGAGCGATATTATGTAGGAAGGTAGCTCGAAGTGTCTTCCCTCAAGATTTTTGCACAGACGACAGCGCCGAACCAAAGACCGGCGGATTTCTGGCGCTAGGATCGTTCTTAATTTGAATAGTTGCTCTTCTGATCCTAGCAATGAGCTCTTTTTCGCTTGCGACAGATGTTTCGTATACCATGCTCTTCAGATACCCCTACAAGAAGAAGTTTAGGGGAGGTAGGTAAGGAGAGGCCAGATCCTCCTCGCTCAATCCACTTGTCCGGAAAGATCGCGTTCAAGTAAGTACACACCTGCTGCGAATAGTGGGCCGGGGCTCCGTCATGCTGAAATCACATGTTTCAGCGAATGGCTAGAGGCACGTACTCTACGAAGTCCTGGAGGGTGTCCTGCAGAAATGTCAAATAGTTATCCTCGCGTAAGTAGTTGAGTAGAATGTAAGGTCCGAGGAGACAGTCGCCGACAATACCAGCCCAAACGTTCACGTTGAACCGATAGTTCTGATAGTTTCCTACTCTCACAGCATGCGGATTTTCATCCGCCCACACATGGCTGTTGTGGCAGTTGAAGACTCCTTCTCTGGTGAACAGAGCTTCATCGGTGAGAACAAAAAGAATAAAATAAATTTTGGGAAATCTGAATCCCGGCGAATCTTCCGCAGAAACCACAAATTCTTGATGATGAGGATAATTAGCCGAATTCAAACTCTGCATCTTGTGCCGCTTGTATGGATGTAACAACTGCTCACACAGGACTTCCCAAACTGTACTGTGTGCTGCACTGACAGCCGCAGCCACAGCACGGGTGCTAGTCGAAGGGTTTTTTTCCATACAGGATAGGATATCCTCTTCCATCTTCGATGTGCAGACAGATCGCTTACGTCCAGCATCAGACTTGCGAACATCTACTGATTCAGTTTCTTTGAGGCGCTAGAACATCTGGGCGAAAGTACTATGATGAGGAATACGCCATTCTGGAAAACGTTCTTGATAGATCCTTGCTGCTGTATGCTCGTGATAATGGGCCTCTCCATAAACAACAATTATGTCAGCATACTTGTCCCGTAGGAGTATCGCTCCATGTCACATGTGGTCAGAAAGAAATAATATCAGAAATCAGAAATAAAATACTTTATTTTCTAGATGTGATGATTTGAATCGGATATGTGCTTTAACAACAGTGCACAACAATACTGTTTGGAGTACAAACTCAAGTCTACAGAAAAATGAAGATTTTTATTTTCTGTAGACTATCTGTAATAAAAAATTGTCCAAAATATCATACGCATCGGTCAGTTATAAAAGTAGATCCACCATCATTTATCATTTTTACCTTCATTCGCGGATAATAATACGATAGCTACAGTCGTCGACTTATCAGGAAAAATTTTATATAATTCTTATTTTATATAATTCTTATTGAAGAATTATATTTTTATATAATTCTTCAATAACTTCGCAACGGCATACTTAAAATTGGTAAAATTATTAGTACTTATAGTGCTTTGAAAAGGTCTCGAGAAAGGTTACAAGGATATGCAATAAAAAGTGGAAAGTTCCATTTCAGAAATTCAAGATGGTCTTGTCGTGACCTTCGTGACGCCATCCAAGGTCAAACATATGGCGCCAGTAAATAGACCTTTTTACACCCTACAACTTTTGTTTGAAACAATTTTTTGTAAAACTTTTATTTTTTGTGATATTTCGAGATCCTGACTTTTTCGAACACTCCATATGCCGTAGCGATGTAATGACAAGGTTTCCGATCCCAGGTTCATTTGCAAAAAATGATTCTTATGGTGCCCCCGACAATTTCTGAAAATTTGTTGGTTGAAATTCTAAACACCCTGTATACAGGGTGTATAAAAAGTACCAGGACGGTGAAATATCTCGAAAACTAAGTGTTTCAGAAAAAAATGTTTTAGATAAGAGTTGTAGGATTTTAAAAGATCTATTTACTGAGGCTATGAGTTTAACCTTAGATGGCGTCACCAAGGTCAGAACAAGGTCACCTTCAACTTTTTAAATGGAATACTCTATATGTTTTTGCATATTCTTGTAGCTAATCTCGAGAGATTTCCAAAACATAATTAAATTAGTTTTCATTAAGTACTTTCCGAGTTATGAGGCTTGAAATTATTTCTTAATTTTATATAAACCATAAAATATCTTATAAAATATTTATTTTTTGATTATCTTACCTTAATACTTTTATGTACAAAATAATGAGAGGAATGAATTGGTGTAAAGAAAACACATAGTTGTTTCTAAGAAAATATATGTAATTTGCAATTAACAATTACATATTTTTTCTGAAAAATAACTATGTGTTTTCTTTACACCAATTGATTCTTTTCATTATTTTGTACATAAAAGCATTAAGATAATCGAAAAATGAATATTTTACTAGATATTTTATGGTTTATGTAAAATTAAGAAATTATTTCAACCCTCATAATTCAAAAAGTACTCATGAAGAAATACTTTATTATAGTGTTTTGGAAAGCTCTCAAGATGAGCTACAAGAATATGCAAAAGCATATAGAATGTCCTGTTTAAAAAATTCTACGTGACCTTCCTCTGACCTTGGCGACGCCATCCAAGGTTAAACTCATAGCGTCAGTAAATAGATCTTTTGAAATCCTATAAAATCCTGTTTTATCTGAAACATTTTTTCTGAAATGCTTAGTTTTTGAAATATTTCATCGGCTCGGTACTTTTTATACACCCTGTATATATATATATATATATATATATATATATATATATATATATATATATATATATATATATATATATATATATATTTAAAATAAGATAGATAGATTCATCTTAATCTTGATATATGTTATCAAGGTTATCCTAGGTTATTCCTAAAAATTTTTACCTGCGTTGCTCGTTGTTTATTAAAAAGTTATAAATAAAAATTATTTCACAAATTTTACAAAACTTTCAGATGCATGATACGATCCATGAAAGCAAGACACATCATATGTGGGTCTTACCTTTATTAACTGGGTCATTATATATACATAAATATTTATACACACACACATACAAAGACACAACAGAAGTATAAATCGTGTAACTGTGTAGTCTTCATTATATTTTAGGTACATTTTAGGTAATGTTAATGCTGACGATATTGTAATTTTTTAAACTTATAACTCAAAAAATACTTAAGAGAAAAATATTTTATAGTATTTTGAAAAACTTTCGAGTTGATGAGCTAAGTATAATGAAATCTAATAAAAAATGTGAATTTCCGTGTTCGTTGTAATTTTTGTGACCTTGACAACACTATTCAAGATATAAGATTTATATTAGTATTATTATGTAATGCATTACTTAAAACTTTACAATTTTTGTGAAGAACAATTTTTTTTTCGAAAATTTTTTCGTAATATTAAGGAGCTCTGAGATTTTTTCTACACTCTGTATATATAATTTAAAAATGTTTTATTGTGTTATTTTAAATATTTTGTTTTTTGCAATGATGAATCGTAGATAACAAAATTCATCTTTTTTTATGGACAATCTTTGTTTCATAACAATAAGAAAATTGCAATTTACACATCCGTTAGAACTTCTGACCATCCACGAACAAATCCAGGAGCTCTAAAGACCCACAAAAATATACATCCTATGAAGAGTGTTGCGACAGAGATCTCGTGAAACGTCATGGGTCCTAAATTCTTAAGATTTTGATTTATTACCTACAACGATGATTATTTAATATATTTTTTATCAATTTATAAATAATATAAATAAACTTTTAAACAAGAATGAACTTATCTAAAATTAATTACATGTTTTATCTCTTTAATTATGTAAAAATATTAAATTTTTAATCTTAAACTGGACTAAACTTTACTAATAACTGCTAATTGTAAATTTCCTTTTAATGTCCATAACTTATTTTGGGTGCAGTTCCGAAAACCGGTCACCTCCGATTTTGATGAAACTTTGTAAAAAGCTTCCTTTCAAGTTAAGATAGAAGCCTGTAAAAGGAATTTTGGCCTATAAGAAAATCGTTTTTTAACAGAAGATTCACAAATTATATGCAACATGCGACTATACGAATTCTTAAGCTAATGTTGATTTGACTTCTAAGAAGGTCAAGATTATTTTAACTTTCTATGCAAAGCATAGATGTTCCACATGGTTTGCAATTTTCCATGCAAAGCGAGGTTCATCCCACATCATCGCTGAGTCAGCGCAAAACGAGGTACTATTATTGAGTCTATTATTGTATGATTCCACATAGATTTGCAACTTTCCATGCTGGTAGGGAAGGTGGGCCTCGCTTTACAACTTACAGCATATATCCATTGTGATTGAACTCTTCGCAATGCGGCCCCTACCGGCGGGGTGGTTGCGGGAGGGGGACCGCAGCCCTCCCTCGCACCCATGGCGCGCGCGCGTGTGTGTGTACACATACATTTGTGAAATTAATAAAACTTATAAGGTATATTTGAGATATGTCTCTTCTGTTTTATATATTTACTTTATTATATTTTTTATCATTTTGTGTTAAAAATGACTTTCTTTTAGGAGTCACTAAAATTTCTTTTACAGGCTTCTATTTTAAGGTGAAAGAAAACTTTTCGTAAAGTTTCATCGAAAGATTTTCGGAACTTTATTCCTTATTTTATTCATATAATTATTAATTTATTCATATATTCATATAATCATATTATTCAATCTTGTTATTCAAATACATAAATTTAAAGAGAGAAGTTCTTAATTAATTATTAATACTTATAATTATTTCGCTACTTATTTTATTAATCGAATAAAAAGATTAAAAAAAGACTTTTTTTGTTATACTTGATTTGCGATCGCTTCGCCTTCCGCGCCGATTCTCGCCATTTCGGCGTCCTTACTGCGCGGTCTCAGATACCCCAGAAAAGTAATTCGTAAATACAGCCACAGTAGAAATGAGTTCACGGCCATTTGCGGGATTGAGGCAGCCATCCAGGTACCAAAAGTAATGGGGTCAGCATCAGGAAAGTTGTATTCGTAGATACCTTTAAAAGCAAGATTTGTCGGAGTACCGACGAGTGTCCCGGTACCTCCAAAAGACGAAGCGTATGCTGCCGCGAACAAATAAGCTTTCGTCACTTTCGTCGGCTTCATATCTCTGAGAAAATAAATCCTTCTATCAAAGTATCGAAAAGTTACTAAGAATTTAATTTAATATCATAAATTAAATTATTATAAATATATAAATATATACACACATATATGTACTATAAAGAGTTAAATATACGAATATTTACATAAAATATTACAAGATATCTCTTTAAAACTTGATGTACAACAAAAATGTTTCAGACAAAATTTATAGAAATTTGAAGAGCAAAATAATTGATTATTTTGAATTTTAATTAAGGTCATTTTTCAAGATCATGTAAAAGTCAATCTAATTTAAATTACTCTAATTTTCTTATACAAAGTGGTTGAAAACTTTTCGCACATCCGAAGTGTGAAGGTAGATTGGTTGATAAAATTAAGAAAAAAGGCTCTTTACTATATTTGCAATTTTTATGATATTTGCAATAATTAAAAATTAATTAAAGAAGATCGGACAATGCGCGTGGCTAGAAGTGCGTGACGGTGAAGGCGGTCTCACTGTAACATAATGGGGACGCATACGGATGATTGATGGGAGGAGGGGAGGAACGATGAGAGAGTAGGCCAATATTTCGATTAGGGATTCCGTGTGCGCATATGTGCGGCTCTGCACACTTTTGAAATTACATAATACGTAATTTCACGGTCGCACAAGCGCAGAGCCGCACATGCGCGCACACGAAATTCCTAATCGAAACATTGATGTAAGCGCGCGGCGAAGGCTCCTCCCCTCCCCAATCACCGCTTCGCAACGCGCCACCATTATGTTACAATGAGACCATTTTCGCCGCCGCGCACTTCTAGCTACACGCATTGGCCGATCTTCTTTAATTAATTTTTCGTTAATTATTGCAAATATCGCAAAACAGTACAACACTTTCCTTCTTGATTTGAACTAATCTACCTTCACACTTCGAATGTGCGAAAAGTTTTTAGCCACCCTGTGTAGTAAATATATTAGAAAATTGCAAAATGGTAAAGAAATTTTCTGTTCAGTTTATTGCGCTCTAATCACATGAGCGTCGGTACAATCTTTATGAGATATCCTATATATAACTTTAATTTATATAACATATATAACTTTAATTTAACACATAATTTTATATAAACTAAAATATCTCCTAAACTGTTTAATTTTTGACTATTCTATTTCTATAACTTTTACGACTATTACAAGAAATATTACAAGGAATTGATTTATATAAAAAAATTGAAATTGTTACATTTCAAAAAATTAGGTTAATTTTCATATGATCTTTAATTAAGTTTTTAATTACAGTTCAAGATTATTAATTTTTTCTCTCTCAAAATTTTATTTAAAATATTTTTTTGTACGATGTTAAGTTTCGGAGAAAACATCTTGTAGTACTTTATGCAAAACATATTATACATATATAATATTAGTTATAAATTATTTCTTATATAAAAGTGTATAAAATGTGTAATATTTAATACTCACGGTTCAGCTTCCGGATCTTGTGGATCCTCCTTTATATCAAACACTTTTCCGAGCCCTTGCTGTGTATATGCAATATCATTTCAAAAATAAAATAAAAATGTATAATTTAATTAATTTAATTAAATATACAGAATAAATATAATTAATTATAGATTATTAAATCTAATTAAATAATTTAATTAGCTGCGATATAACTGTAATTGATATTTCAAATGAAATACAAAATATACTTATATAAACACAATGAGAAATGAGAAAAAAATGTGATTTGAGAAAGAATTATTGTAGAAAGGGAAAGATGTAAAAACCAAAGATATATATAAAAAATTTGAACTTCGAAATGTCTTTTCCATTTGATAGCAATAGCATGAAACGCGATAATTTATTATAATGTTTTTCCAATTCAACCGACCCTTTCCAATTCGCGCAGAACAGCAAAGACGATGGGCACTATCATGGCGGTAGCTGCCGCGTTCGCAATCCACATGGATACGAAAGTGGTTACGGTACAAAGACCGCCAAGCAATTTCGCGTGGCTGCAACCGAATGTCTTCATCACAATTAGAGCGATTCGCAGATGCAGATTACAGTGTTCGGTGGCGATGGCGAGTATAAGGCCGCCGATGAAAACCATAATAGTGTCGTTCATATAACAGATGCATGTTTCTTGACTGCTGAGAATGCCGAACAAGGGAAACAGCACCACCGGGACTAACGATGTGATTCCTATCGGCAGACACTCCGTCACCCAGTAGCCGGCTACTAGTAATATGATGTAAGCGCATTTGACTTCCTGCATTTGTCAGATAATATGAAATGAAAGATATAAATGATATAAAAAATATAAAATATATTATTTTTTGTTATTTGTATATCATATTTTAGAATAATAATACCTTTAATCGAATATATTTCAGGTCAATACAAAATAAAATTATTATTTTAATGTCAAAATGAATCATTAAATATAATTGTTTTATACTTATACTGCAAAAGATTCAATTGGAATAATGTATTATATATATAATTATAATAATAATATTAAAATAAAAAATTGTATATACAGGGAGTTCCAGGTATCTCGGAACAAAGTCAAACCAATAAGTAGATCTCGTTAAACTGAATTAAAAAGTCTTTGATTATTTTGCAAAAACCACGTAAAATATCGAGATATTAATTAAAAAAGATTGATCAATGCATGTAACTAGAAACGCGGCGGCAGCAAAGGATCTCACTGTAACATAATGGTGACGTACGGCGAAGTGGCAAGTGGGAAGGGAGTGATGGACGAACTCTACGAAACATGATGGTGCGCACTTCTAGTCACGCACATTGATCGATCCTTTTTATTTAATATCTCGAAATTTTACGTGGTTTCTTGCAAAATGATATAGGATTTTTTAATTTATTTTAACGAGATCTACTTATGGATTTACTTTGTTCTGAGATACCGGGAACTCTCTGTATATACATATATATACAGAATGTCCGTCAATTTTCGATCTTAACGAAATAAGGAAGTAGATTGGCTCAAATTAAGAAGGAATGACCTGTATTGTTTTGGGATTGTCGCAATAATTAACGAAAAATTAAATAAAGAAGATCGGCCAATCTGTGTGAGTAGAAGCGCGCGGCGACGAGAGTGGTCCCACTCGGTCTAATCCGATACTACGAGCGCGACGAAGCGGTAGGCGAGTCGCTCTCCGAGACATGATGGTGGTTTGCGATATATCGCAATACCGCGCCGAAAAATGACCCGTCCTTTTAGTGGCGAGAAAATGATGCGCTATCATTTCCACACCACCTTGCGGTAGATAGCATGGTGCGCTTTTTTTATAGTGATTTCCCCCATAGACCTATTCCACTCTCAATTTGAAAATTATTCAAAATTTACCATTACTATACGCTGAATATATCGTAAATGTAAAAAATTAATGTTGACAGTACTTTTACAAAAATTGATCCGTGGTTGAAAATTCTTCGATAAAATGTATTGCACACGTTGATAATGATACGATGATAAAATGCTTCTAGAATTCTTTCTTCATCTCGTACACGAAGGCGCACTGCTGGACCGGTTATCCCGATATTATGCACGACACCGTTTCACATAATTATTGCACAACACGTAAAATTGTACGGCCACTTTTCGTGCACGCTCGGGAAATGATTTGATGTAAATTGCGGCCGCACGATAAGTATTTTCTCCCGTTAATTCATATGCCACAATCATATTCTTGCAGTATACTTCATTTTCACTGTTAATTTACTACAACGCAAACACAAGATTTTTATTAAAACTTAGTTTTTTTTTAAAACTCACACGTACGCTTACACTCACATGTCCGCTCAGCTGTCAGCTGTAGTTGCGTGCTGCTGGTGTATGCAGTCTGGCAACAGCGTGCGAGAGCTAAGACGCTTTTAGTAAAAATCTTGTGTTCGCACAGTTAATTATCAGTGAAAATGAAGTATACTCCGCAGGAATATACGGACATGATTGTGGCATACGGGCTAGCGGGAGAAAATATTCATTGCACGGCCGCAATTTACGCGGAATGATTTCCCGGGCGTGCACAAAAATCAAGTGGACGTACAATTTTACGTGTTGTGCAACAATTACGTGAAAC